AAATGCCTGCTTGAAAAGCGCTGCTATTATCAGAAATTTTCGGTATAGTAGATAATTAACAAACATAAGAAACGGAGACTTGCGGAATAAAATATAGCTGGGTAACTTATGGTATTTTGGTAACTTACTGCAAAAATTTACAAATCACCATAATTTTACATCCCTGCTGGGACCATGACATTCATATATCCATTTGCGATACGATGACCACATATAAATTCATATTTACAATTACCGTTGCACATAAAATTCTGTGTTACAATTTAAAATATACTATTTAAAAGAAATTTATAAATCATCAGAAAATAACTTTTTAGACAGTCTCGTAATTTCGAAATTTGTATTAAATATTTCCCTGCAAACTTTGTTATTTGTAAACAAAAAAATTTATATATATAGAATATATCCTATATAATTCAAAAGGATGTCTCTAGGCCAACAAAGTTTAATAAAAGCTTTTCAATATTATGCATCAACTAGACCAAAGGAAAAAATTCTTTTGGTCCCAAACGGAGAAGAATATGAAGAGATTAACTTTCAAAATTTCGATTTTATCATTAATAAATACGCTAATTATTGGAAAAAGCAATTAAAGAATGAAAATTTGAAGAAAAACAGCGTTATTGGTTACTTATCTCAAAGTGGACCTGAATATTTGTACAACATTATGGCCTTATGGAAATTAGGCTTTGTAATTTTATTACTTAGTCCTCGAAATTCAGAAGCTGATTTGGTTCATTTACTTCAGGAAGCAAAATCTCATATTTTAATCCACAATCTTCAACTTTCAAAAATCTCCAAGAATGTACAAAATAAAATGAATTCTCAATATTCGCAAAAACTTAAAATTTTTCAACTTTCTAAAAATTTAAAGAATGAAAAAATCGATCATTCCGAACCTGTTCTATATGATAATGATGATAATAATAATAATGATGATGATCCTTATGAAAAAACTATTGCCATCTTTCATAGTTCTGGTTCAACTTCATTTCCCAAATTAGTTCCTGTTTCAAGTCGTTTTTTTTTTGTTATGAAATCTATAGATAAACCTGATGACATTATATTATCAACGGCTCCATTATTTCATATGTACGGATTTATTCGCGTATTAACATTTATTTTAAATCCTGGTTCAGTATATGTATTTCCAATAGTTGCAGGATCGGTTCCTTTAATAAATGAAATTTTACATAGTTTAAAACAATCCAATGCTAGTGTTTTTTACACTTTACCTGCTATTCTTGAACAAATTCATAAAAATCATTCAGATGAAATCAAAATATTAACGAAATTAAGATCTGTCTATTATGCTGGAGCAGCATTATTACCTCATGTAGGTGAACAACTTATAAAATCAGGCGTCAAAATTATTTCTAATTACGGAACGACTGAAGTAGGAGTTATCATGAGTTCACTTAAAGATTCTTCTTCACCTGAATTTTCTAAAATTCCATGGAATGCAATGAAATTCTTAATTCCGAAAAATTATTATAAATTAATAGAAAGGAATGATATTATTGATGGAGCGAAAGAATTAGTTATAAAAAAAGGAGCTTCAATTCTTGCAAATATTAAAGGAAATACTGAGGAAGATGATTATAA